GTTGGTCTATGATTGTTGCTGCCGTTGTTGGTTTGGTAAGTGGTGGATCCACTGAAGGTTTCTGGGCGAGGAAACAACGTGATTAGAGAGGAATTCAAGAATTGTCAGTAGATGAGGTGGGAATGGGGTAAGGCTGAAGCTCAAGGGAACTTAGGAGATTTCTGGCGGTAGCTGAGACGGGGGTAAGTAGGGTAATGTCGGGTGGAGGCAGAAAGGGCGGAAAAGATGATGCTAGAAACATTGGTAAGAGAAGACTGGGCAGCCCTGACACTTGGGCGAATGCGCAGAAGAGGAGAAGGGAGAATGATGGTGATGACCCAGAGTCAAAGCCGGGTGTTGAGGGGAATGGGGTTTTGTTAAGCAAGAGAGAGGGTAGTGATCATTTCAGATGGCCTGACAGGCGTCCAGGCCAAGGTGTCTGGAAGGCAGAGGAGTTGCAGACGTGGGCTTGGCAGAGTCCCAGGCGGGACAGGAAAGAAACCATGGAGACTGCAGCAGTGGAGACGCGTCAGCTAGGAGGGGGCCAGGCTTGGCAGAGGCCGCTGTGGAGCCCTCTGGCAACTGCTTCACTGCATGTGGGAGAAGGAAAAAGCACTTGCAGAGGAGAAAGCGAGCCAGCTCTGGAGAGAGCAGAGTCCAGGACGGTGAATGCCAGGAGTGGGGGCTTCTGGGCAAGGGCAGTGAACAGTGTACACCATTGTGAGGAGCCGAGGGCCTGGAGGCGGAGAGAGGGTCACAGGGTTAGCAGATTATACAGTCGTCAGCAGACATTTCCAAAAGCAGTGTGTGTTGGGGGCAACAGCCACATCACTGGGGGTTGGGTGGAAGGAGAGGAGGCTCATGGGGATGACAGGATTAAAGCCATGTTGAACTGGGGAGGGAACCTGGTACAGAGAGGCGAAGGCAAGAATGCTGGCAGTAAAACAAGCAAAAACTAGGACAGTCGGGTTGACCTTGGAGAGGAGCAGGGACAGAAGAGGCTGAAGAGAAGAGGGAAGAAAGATTTTGAAGTGCAGACAGGAAGTGGTGGCCCCAGTGTTTTCAGTGGGGCTTGGTGTGAGTGTTTGGGGAGGTGGAGCCCCAAGTTTGAGAATAATGGAGGACATTTGAAACAGCTGCTGTCGAAAGATGGGGGAGATGCATCCTGTCCCCTCCATCCTCCTACCCCCCACCCCATCCAATCATGTCCCTCCTGAAATGTGTGGGCATTTGGCAGCTTTCATACATGAATTTAGGCTTAAGAACATAACTGCCTTCCCCAACCCCACATATCCCTACTTTGGATTTTATTTACACTCTGGCTTAAAATACTTCGACGCTTACAGTCCTCAGATGTTCCTTTGGTCAGTTCACCAGTCAGAGTCTTGCCTGTGCTCCAGGGGAAATGTATTTGATCCTGCAGAGGTATCAGGGCATGCTGGTCACAGCAGGTATCAAATCCGCTAGACCAGGCACACCTGCTTCTGGTGAGCTTGTCCCAGCATCACGTTCTGTGCCCCCCCACTCCCCTAGCCACAGAAGACAGACTCGAATGTCTGGCCAAGGAGCAAGTTCTCCTGCCCAGAAAAGGGAAGGGAGGCACTGGGGAGAGAGGGAAGGCAGAGCTGCCAGGGGAGAGTTGCATCTGCCACTGAAATGCATGCTAAAGCAAGAGACGAAGAGAAACCATGAGAGAGACAGATAGAGACAGAGCCAGAGATGGAGACATACACACAGAAACAGAGAAGCAGAGAGAGAGAGACACACAGAGACAGACAGAGGCAGACACCCATAGAGACAGAAGGACAAAACTGAGATGATATACGACATCACTCATATGTGGAATCTAAAAAATAATCCAAATGAATCTATTTACAAAGTAGAAGCAGACTCACAGACATGGAAAACAAACTTACAGGGACCAAAAGGGAACGGGAGGCGGGGAGCGATGACTTAGTGGTGTGGGATTAACAGATGCAAACTACTGTACATGAAAGAGATAAGCAACGAGGATTTCTGTGTAACACAGGGAACAAAATTCAGTATCTTGTAATAAATAACCTAAAGTGGAAAATAGTCTGACGAAATATACATATATAACTGAATCTCTTTGCTGTATACCTGAAACGAATACAACATTGTAAATCAACTATACTTCAATTTTTTTTAAGTAAGGAACCCATGATAAAAGTCACCTATTTAAAATTGCCCTCAATCTGAAAGGAATACCTTTTTAGATAGAATTTAAGCAGAACTTTTTAAAACTAAGACTTCAATTTATTAAAAATTTACTTTTTATTTTTAAAAGAAGATTTATTGGGATATAATTTATAGCCCAGATTATAATTGTTAAGTTCGATCAGTTTTGACAAAATTATATAATAGTGTAACCATCAACACAAACAATATATAGAGCATCTCCAACCCCTTCAAAAATTCCTCAAAATCCTTTATAATCAATTGCCTGCATCCACTCGCAGCTCCTGGCAACCATTGATTTATTTTCTGCCTTTATAGTTTTGCCTTTTCCAGCATCTCATCTAAATGAAACCACATAGTGTATAGATTTTTGTGTTTGGCTTCTTTAATTGAGCATAATGTTTTTGAGATTCATTCATGTATCCTGTACGTTATGTATTAGTAGTTCATTACGTTTAATCAGTGAATAGTGTCCCAGTGAAAAATAGAAATTAAAAAAAAAAAAGAATTTGGATGAGACCCTCCAGGGGCTGGAGATCTGGGAATAACCTTGGTTGTGGTCTCTGGGTTCAAGGCTGGTCCCTTTAGGTCCTGGCTGGGCTGGTTTCCTGGGGTTCAGTGTGTTTCCCCTTCATCTTTCTGCACCCTCCCCCTTTCCATGGTCTAGTCTGAGTGGGTTTCTGTGCCTTACAGCCAACGGAGCCTTCCCAGTGAGCTCAAACTGCCCATCGCAGGGGGCTTGTTCTGGGGCAGCCGGCCTGGCCTCTGCTTTCTGCTTTGACCCTTGTGAGGACAGCCCCTCCTTGCACTGTCGCACTTCAGACATGCCATCCTGTTCTTCATAGTAGCGAGTTCTCTGTTTCCCTGTGTCTGAAACCCAGGAGTCAGCAGCACTGTTTAGACTGAAAGACAGCGGAGAAAGGGAAATAAGTCACAGAACGTTCACTATCATTGAATGAAAATGATAATAGCAACAGAGAGTGTTGTCAGGGAGTTGGGAGAGCGGAGGTGGAAAAGAAAGGGTTCACTTTGACTTTCCATGTCTGAGGGCAGCTGGGAGAAGGAGACCAGGCAGGCAGCAGGCACAGGAAGCGGAGGGGAGGGCTCAGAGGAGGCCGCCGCTCCCAGCCCAGCGTGGAGCAGTCCCGGGAGCGTGAGGCGTCCAAGCTCTGTGTGGTCCAAGGAGGTGACCGCAGGAGACACCAATGTCCTGTGAAACCAGAGGAAAGAAGGAGCAGACGAAGAACTGAAAGTTAAAGGACATAGCTACATGGATGCCAGTGTGTCACCATAGCTTTATGGTAGGGACCAAGAAAGGGCACTGATGATCTGAAACAGGACTGAGGTGTGTGTCTGCTTGGTTTCAGGAGGCAACTGGATTCGAAAGGACTGTGGTGAGTTTGGGCACCTGGCTCCCACGAGCTCTAAAGTTGGATCTGTGTTTATGGAGAACCAACCAGTCACTTGCAAAGTGTAATCAGTGATTCTCAGGAGATGGGGTGGCATCGTGACGTGACCACCTCTGCCATAAGTGGTCAAGGCAGCCTGCCCTGTAAATAAATCTGTCTTGGTGGTGAGTCCATTCGGCTTTTGTGGCCTCACCTGTAGGAGGAGACTTGGACTAATTGATCCTTTGAGATCCAAAACTCCTTTATTCTAGAACATTTCTAGTAGGCTTGTTCCCCTCTTGAAAGTTTCTGACCCAGAGTGAAAGGGAGCTCTGGTGTTGACATGAAGACCATGAACCCTGGGCAGGGCTGTTGTGTCTGGACAGCCATGGTTGGGGAGAGGGAGCCCCCGGCCAACCACATGGAAACGTGGGCTCCCTCAAGCCTGGGGTGGGACCGCCGATGATCAGAACATCAGGGCAGACCACCACTTTTAAGGAACCACTTTATTTCAACAATGTGTATTTCTGTTGGTAAATGCTACAACTCTCATCTCTATTAATTTTTGTCTTAATGATGTGTTTGCTGGGTTAGTGCAAAATGATTTAGCACATTTACATCTTGTGACTGTCGCTACAGCACAGATTAAAAACAGGTTCAGGTTTTACAGTCAAAACAACATCTGGTGCCAAGTCGAAGTACCGATGGTGTCACAAGCGTAACTGTCTGAACTGTCTGAACGGGGCCGTGGGCTCCACCCATCTTTCTGCATAGAACTGAGTTTGCCAAAGGGAGCAGTCCCCGCATCCTTGCAAGAGTCTCATCATAAAAACCGCAGTGTAATCCCTGTTGAGTAGTATGCTCCCCACCGGAACAGACGGGCTTCCGAAAGGCAGCTTGCACTGGCGGGAACGGCTTCATGACTGGGGGCTCTAGTGTGCAGTTCTTGTCCGGCTGCACCTCTGTCTCCTGGCTCTGCTGCAGTTTGGTCTGTGCACTTACACCAGATTTTACCAGGAAGACCAGGAATGTGTTTGAAATGGTATCAAAGGGTTTCTCTTGCCTTGTTTGTATCAAGAGATTAATTGTCATCTACTCGTTTCACTTACGTGGACTTTCTTTCCCCAAACGTTACCCGTATCCAGAGGCGAAGGCCGGCCAGTGAAAAGACCTTTCACAAATAGAGCTTTTTGTGAAAAACCTAAATCATATCCTGTGTCAAGCCAATGTGACAATGGGCTATTATTCCTCTCCCCATAATAGCATGTTGTCACATCTTTGTGCCCGCGTGAATGGGCGAGGAGAGGAGACGTGGGGAGGAGTGGGGGCGGGGGAAGGCACACTGAGATCTTAGAGGAGCCTTTCCTGGGGTTTGCGTTTTCTAAAAACAGAAACTGCTCCTCTGGGAGGTAATTCAGACGTTAATTTCCACAGGTGCCAGGCCACAGCCTCGTGTGCATTTCCAGAGACCGGCCCTGCGGCTGCCTGAGAACACCAGCTACAGTGACCTGACTGCCTTTCTCACGGCCGCCAGCTCTCCCTCAGAGGTGGACGGGTTTCCTTATTTGCGAGGATTAGATGGAAACGGAACAGGTAATCGGAGTCTCCTCTCTTTGCAGCTGGCGTAGCAGCTGCACCTTTGTATGTGGCCGGAGGTGTGAGTCCTAAGTGGGAGAAGGTCCAGAACAGGAGATCTGTCCAGATCCAAGTGCATGGGAACTGTTATTTGAGGAATTCAGTCTGTACCACTACAGGGTTGAAATTCAGTGAATTTGTCTCCCTGAGCCTTTCTGCTAGTACCAGTTTCCTTAAGCACCTTCTCCGAGCTCTCTTTTGGGCAGACTAAATATATTTAATGCCCAGAAGTTCTTTTAATTGAATTTTTTTAAGAGTCAGATCAGAGTTAGAGGATTCCTGTCCACCTGTCCTCAGCCTTGTCCCACTTGTTCCTGGACTGTGCATTTGGTAGAGCAGCCTGTCCTCTGTGCAGAGGTGTGAGGCCCTGCCCTGCCGCTTGTCACAGCTAAGAGGGGAGGGGGCGGGTGGCACTGGGTCTGATTCAGAGAGGAGCACACTAGTGCTCCCACCCCACCAGTGAAGCCCTTCAGAGTGGGGAGCCTCTGGGCCCTGCTGGCTGAGTCCAGCCAGCCTTTTCTCCCATCCTCCCTTTCTTTGAGTTTGCCATCTCTCTGCCTTCCACTCAGCAGAGAGTGGTCAGTCTTTATAGCTGATTGTGAATTGTCTCCTGGCAGACTTCTGAGTCAGCCCAGTCATTCTCACCCTGTGCTGGCAGGACACACATTGCCCGAAGATCAGAGAAACTCAAAGCCACCAGCCAGAAAATAAGTAATAATTCCTTATTCGTAAAAGACTACCTTCTACCTCTGTCCATGGCCAGCAGAACTTGGTGCAAATGTGGTCCCTGGTCATCCTTCTGATGAAGGAGGGTGGTAGAGTCTGGAGTCCTGAACCATTTTCTTGTTTCCACTTCCCTTCTTTTCCCCGACACTTTATACTTGTCGCAGCATAAACTAGAAAACCAGAGACCATTCTGGGTTAAATCCCTGCTAGGAAACTACGTTATTGCATTTCCCAGGGACATTTTGATTGAATTTCACTTAATTGTCCAGTGCTTTACATAAATGAATCATTCTGCAAAAGCTTTTTAGAACTGTAACATCTGATCTGTTTTTGTAGAATGTTAATAAATATTCTGGTTATGAATCGAGGTGACCTAGTGATTTGTTACCTGCTTTTCTTCCTTCTGCGGTACCTGTTTTGAGAAATGTTTCTTCTCCCATTAGTTTTTGTATGATAATGATGCCATGAATATGTCAGTCACTGGCCACCAGACAGATGCATATTGGTCATCTTAAGTGAACATTACTAGGGGAAATAATGTTGACTTTTAATTTAAATGGACAGGCCTAGGAGGAAAGTAGTGTTTCAGGGAACATGATGAAGTACAGTCTGAGACCATCGTGAAACCTCCGTCCAGGCTCCCCGACAACACAGTGCTCCAACATAAAACCACAAGCTGGAGGGATGACCTCATTCCTCAGAGCGCAATCATTTTTCTGTGCCCCAATTCCAAGAGCTCTTGAATAAGTTATGAAATCCAGGACAACGACGGGGGGAAGAGGAACACAAGGACGTAGGACTATTGATTTTAGGGGAGTTTGTTTTATTTTAAAATCACTGTGTTATTTCAGAGGGAAGAGAGAAGGTGTTTGCAAGGCTATATTCAACTTGTTTTCTGCTGAAGTAATTGGCCAGTTGACTTAGGAAGAAGCAGACCCCCTAGCAGGAAAGGCAGTCACAGTGTGGGTTCTGCTTAGCATCCCAGCAGCCCACCAGCTGGGGCTTCCGTTCTGCCCCACGTTTGCCTCCGGCTTTATGTTTCATATCTGAGAGATTTGCATCTGAGAGGTTTCAACTTCACGTGAGAGCCTGGACCACACAAACCCATGTGAGATGACAGGTCGTAACTGGAATCCAGTGAAGTGAATGGAGGCCACAAATTGACTTGGAGATGGGCTGGTTTCCCTGGCATGTCCTAAACGAAGTTGTTTCCTAAACATTAGAGGGAGTTTCCTAGGACATTAGCGGGAGTTTCCAGAGTTGTAAACAGAGAAACACAGCCGTGTGGAGATTTCCGCCACTCCATCTCATTCGTTCCTGCCCATCTTCTCAGCATCACGCTCTCCCTGGTGGTTGCTAAGAAAGCACAGAACTGATCTGTGATGTTCTCAAGGGGTTTTTAAGAAACCTTCTGCTAGTAGCTCCAGGAAGACAGAGAAGAATGAGTCTATGACTCATGCGAGATTTCCCCACAATCCAGAAAGTTTGATGATGGAGCGCAAAGCCAAAAGAACCTTAGATGCTGTCTGAGCAAAGCCCCTCTTGTTCTAAGTGATGAGTTGGAGGCCTCCTAGCTTGGTCCAGTGGTGCTGCTTTTGCCTGATAGACACCTGTCTTTATTCAGACATGACAAGAGTCAGGGACCATCAACGTGGAGCAGGAAGGGAAGACTTGTTATATGTAGAACTCAGTGTTTTGTGAAGAGTTGCCATCTCATAATGAGGGCTGGAAAGGGAACAATTTAGCCCTTCAAAGTATGAATGGTTCCAGAATAAAGGAAGTGGGAGGATAGAGGGGCCTTTGGAAGGAGCAGAAACACTAAGAGAGGAAAGAGACCTCCAGAAGGCAGAGATACAGGCGCCTGCGATGTCTTCAAACAGAGAACTCCTTAAAGATTGTTAAATCACATGCACCTGGCGAAATTGCTTTACATGAATGTGCCCCTTTCTGCAGTGTTTTACTTACTTCTGAATGTTTATGGTGAAGGTCATTTCTTTCCATAGACTCAGAGGAAAGCATCTAGTCCAACCTCCTTAGTTTTGCAGATAAAACAGACCCCCCAGAGGAATGAAGTAACGTGCCAGGGGCCACCTGAGCAGTTGGTGGCGGATCTGGTACTGAAACCTTGGCTTCCTAGGCCAGGGATGTGCAAGGTCATCGGAAGGGAAAATCTGGGGATGACGGGATTCCATTTCCAGGAATCAAGAGGCAGCGTTAAGTGGGAGGAAGGGATGGAGGATGAGTCCAGAGTGCCTTTCTGCTCTACCTGCTGCGTCCCTGGACAGACTTCCTGCTGTAGGTTTGATGAAAGGAGCAGCACTAACTGAAAACCTTATCTCTAAATTGTTTATACAAAGGCTAGTACATGCCACCAGACAGAGGCATGTTGGTTATTTTAATTGAACGTTATTAGGGGGAAAATGTTGACTTTAAATGGACAGACTGAAAGGAAAGTAGGGGAACATGCTAAAGTGTGTGTTCTGAGACCATTAGGAAACCTCTATCCAGCCTCCCCAGCAACACAGTGCTCCAACATAAAACCCTAAGCTGGAGGCATGACCTCATTCCTCGGAACTCATTCAAGTTACTTAATTCCTCTTTGTTTTAAGTTCTGTCTCATCCAGATAGTCTAACAGAGCCTAGAGAGATCCACCGGAGACCTGGCTTTGCTTCTGGGTCAACTTTGGGCAATTGGCACATTTAGGTCCCCATCTCAAGGTCATCTCCATGTTGACCAGCAATATGGTAAATTCTAGGTTTTGGTTTTCTTCGCCCTAAAGTGAAATGGCCAGAATAAAAGATTTCAGAACTTGAATCCATGGTTCCAATGTGGACGTTTTGATGAAATCCTCATTTCCATGCCTTTCCCTTCACTGGAAAAGAGAGATGGCTGTAAATCATGAAAGACAGTGCTCTCACTAGCTGTATAGCAATGGCTCTACGAAGGAGTTAGCGATGACTCGCTGAAACTTTAATTTTCACAAGAAGGGGAGGGTGGGTACAGCTCAAGTGGCAGAGCACATGCTTAACATGCATGAGGTCCTGGGTTCGACTCCCAGTACCTCCTCTAAAAAATAAAAAAATAAGAAAAACCCTAACTACCACCCCTGAAAAAAATTTTTAAACAAAAATTAAATAAGATTCACTAGCTTTGCTTTAAATGTTTAAATTTACTCCTAATTGGGTATTTGCACTAGTTCATGTGGTTGATAGGTAGGTAGGTATGTAAGTAGTTTAATAAGAAATCCTGTAAATTATCTCCTAATATAGCTTAACTTTTCCTATCACTGTGTTTTTGTTGCTGTGTTCAAGGCGAGATTTTAAATTATGACAAAATACATTTTGTATGAAATATTATACTTCACTGGAGAAATTTTTTTCTCAAATGGATCACTTAAGTGTGTAAATACAGTATCGCTCTCATAAGCGTTCCCCAATTTATCTGCAGACAGTCATTAAAGCACTGGCTTGGGAAAAAAAGGCCTCTAATGTAGAATAATAGGTCTATTAAGTTCCTTTTAAACAGATCAAAATAACAATGGCAACCAAAATAACTCATAAACACTTCAAGTCCAAGTTTTCAGTAGTGTACTATTAGAAGAAGTAAGCTGACATTTTGAAGTACTCCTTGAAGAAATTATCTCTTTTTTTTTAAGGAGTCTGATTTGAAGCATATGGTTTCATTGTGGTCGTTGGCCAAGTAATTAACATGTGCGCAGGGCTCACTTTGTCTAGGAGTCGATTTCAGGCATTTGCACACACACCTCCTCTCACATTATCGACATTCCCTTCCTTTCGGAGACTCTCTTTGAAAGCACAGCACAGTGGTTAGAAACGGAAAAGCTGAACTTGGATCTCAGCCCTACCCTCAGACTAATGTATGTTTGTAGACCAGCTCCCATTACTACTCTCTCTAAGCCTCAGTTTATTTATGTGTAAAATGGGGGTTTTACCTACTTTAGAAAGTCATGGTGAGGATTATATATGTCAGGTGCTCAATACAGTCCCTAGCTTACAGGAGGTCTGGTACTCAGTAGATGGTAGCTGTTATGTTTTTCTGTAAACAGTTTCTGCAACCCCACGTAGGTCCCTTGTGTGCATGTGATGGAGAGTGCCTCTTGCTTCCAGGAAACAGCACCAGGTACGACCTGACGCCGGTCACAGCTGTCAGCGTCCACTTGCTCAGCAGTGATGGAACGCCGGTGCTGGTGGATGGCCCCATTTATGTCACCGTGCCCCTGGCCACACAGAGCAATCTGAGGCACAATGCCTATGTCACAGCATGGCGGTTTGACCAGAAGCTGGGTAAGCAAGACTCCTGTGCCGGCTGTCCCCTAACAGATGTCTTCATGACTGTTTGATTCCCCGTCTAAGCAGCCTATACAAGTCTCTTTTCCTGTAAGTTATTGAATGCTGCTGCTCACAGTGCATTGTGTGGTTTCTGGTAGCTAAGGTGTACATGCTCTTTGGAGTTCTTTTTTTTTTTTTTGCATGTTTAAGCTAATTTGCTTGAAGAGAATCTTTCAAGGTTATTAGAGCTAAATTGGCTCTCCTAATCTTTATCATTTTAGTCTTTTGCGGGTCACATGATCTCTTTTGGTCACATGGCTTTCTTTTTTCTATTTCTTGAAGAACGAAAAGGCATTGCCACCACTGTACGAAAAAAGAAAATAAAAATTTCGCATGATCCACCACCTAGGGAAACCCACTAATAGTATTCCGGGTTACAGGCAGGCCTTGTTCTATTACACTTCGTTTTATTGTACTTTGCAGATACTGCATTTTTTAGAAATGGAACATTAGTGGCAATCCCGTGTTTTCAGGTGATGGTTAGCATTTTTAAGCAAGAAAGTATTGTTTATTTAAAATATGTACTTTTTTTGGCATAATGCTATTGCATACTTATTTGACTACAGTGCAGTGTAATAGTAACTTTTGGGGGGAGTAATTAGGTTTATTTATTTACTTACTTATTAGGGTTTTGTTAATGGAGGTACTAGGGATTGAACCCAGCACCTCGGGCATGCTAAGCATGTGCTCTACCTCTGAGCTATACAGCCCCTCCTAAACATAACTTTTATACGCGCTCGGAAACCAAAAAATCTTGTGCCTCACTTTACTGTGATGTTGGATATAGTGCAGCCGGTCTGGAAGTGAACCCACAGTATTTCCTTCCCACCATTTCACTAGGCATGTATGTATTAGTTATTTTGTGGTGCTAAAACTCAGCAGCTTTAAACACCAGCAGACATCTGTTACCTCACCATATGGAGGGTCAGGAACTCAGGCACAGCTTAGCTGGGTGGTTTGGGATCAGAATATCCAGCAAAGTTGCAGTCACACTGTCAGCCAGCATGTCCCAGGGTTCAGCAGGGGCTGGTGAGTGCACTTCCAGGCCTCAGTTCCTCCCTGGCTGTTGGCTAGAAGCTCCACTTCCTTGCCACGTGAGCATCTCCATAGGGCCGCTCACAACGTGACAGCTTGCTTCCACTGGGGTGAGTGATCCAAGAGAAATTACCTAATAAACTAAAAATACAAAAGCACAAGCGGGCAAAATGGAAGTCAAGGTCTTTTATAACCTAATGTCGAAGTGGCCTCCCCTCAGTTCTTTCCATGTACTGTTGGTCACAGAGCCCAATACTGGTGCAGCCCAGGCATGGACCACACAGGTGTGTGGACACCAGGAGTGGGCATCTTGGGCCCTTTTGGAGGCTGCCTTCCAAAAATATGTATTTAACAGAAAGGGGAATGTATGCTATGTACTGTTCTATAACTTGCCTTTAAAAAACCAATTGTATGTCATGAGCGTCTTTCCATAGCATTATTATTCCATAGCAACTATTATTCTACAGTGTCCACGTTAAGAGTGCATAGTATGCCCTTACATGGAGATGCCATAGTTCAGTTGCTCGATCCCCTGCAAATAGAAAAAACATCAAGGAGAGGGTGTCGCTCAGTGGTAGAGTGCATACCTAGCATGCACAAGGTCCTGGGTTCAATCCCCAGTACCTCTGTTAAAAAAAAAAAGAAATTAAAATTTTTAATTAAAAAATAAAAGAACCAAAAAAAAAATACTCTGCTAAAACAAATCAATCAAACAAAAAAAATTACACAAGATGGGGAGGGTACAGCTCAATGGTAGAGCACATCTAGCATGCACAAGGTCCTGGATTCAGCCCTCAGTATCATCATTAAAAATAAAGAAACAAATAAATCTAATTATTCCCTCTCCCTTCAAAAAGTAAAAGATGTCACTTTTCTTACCAGTGCTGTGATAAGTATCTTTGTAGTGAAATCTTTATGCACAGTCGTGGTTGTTGCCTTGGGAGAAAATTTTAAAAGTGAAACAGCTGACTTTAAGATACACAGAATTCTAAAGCTTTTGATACATATTTCCAAATTTTCCTCCAGGAAGTTTTCCAGTTGACAGTCATAATAAGAATATGGGAGAACATGCTTGTGCTTAGGATTTTGACAGCACATTGGTTCCTATTCTCCCCTTGAAAATGCCAGTTTTCAAGTAACCCAGTACAGAATTTTAAACTGATAGACCATGCATAAAAATAATGGGGAGATTTTTGGTATCAAATCAAAGACACCTAATTCCTTCGGTAATCAAATTCTAGTTTTAGGAATTTATATTTGGAAATAAAGGCTTGTTGGGCTTTCTGGAGTTGGGGAGGAGAGGATTGTTGTGTTTTACTTTCCAGACAGTTGCTAACAAACTGCATAATTCTTTATGTAGAAGTCATTGACTTTATCAGATGTACCAAACTTGACGTCGTTAGAAGGAAATGTGATACACTAAGTCACATGGGCACATTATCATTGGTGTCCATTCTTCATGACTTGGTGATTTTTTGAGGCATGTGGTCCTGGTCAGGATGTAAGGAGCCCTGGGCTCCCAAGAGGAAATGAGTTGAGGGGGTGTGCCTGAGAGAACCCCTGAGAAAGATAGGAATTCTGAAGGGAGGAAAGGATGTGGACAACAAAGCAGGGACAGAAAGTATGAAGGAGAGGGGAAAGCTTGCACTGAGTCTGCCACTTGGAAAACTCTAAGTCCCACCTTGGACAGATCACCTGCACCTGTTTCCTCACTTGTGTAAGATGTGCGTCTGTCAATTCTCCTCCCTCGTGTAATCTCCCTGTCACTGTTGTCTGTCCAGGTCGTCCCCCAGCATGTCAAGGCAGTGCTGTGAAGCAGAGCATGTGGTTCAGAGCAGGGACTCTGAGGCGCAATGGATTGGAATTCCAGCTCTGCTGCCCACTAGCTGTGTGGCCTTGGCCAGTCTGCTTAACCTCTCTGGGCCAACTGTGAGATGGGGATAAAAATAGTACCTAAAGGTGAAATGAAGAGTGTATTTGTTAGTCGCAGTTCTCCAGAGAAACAGAATGGATAGGATGTGGGTGTGTGGGTGGGTGTGTTATGTGTGTATCTGTTTGTGTAAGAGAGAGAGTTCTGTTTTAAGGAACTGGCTCATGAAATCGTAGAGGCTGGCAAGTTCAAAATCTGCAGGGTGGGCAGACTGGAGACCCAGAGAAGATGTTGCAGTTTGAATCCAAAGGGACCTCTGCTGGCAGAATTTCCTCTTCCTCAGCTGGGGAGGGTCAGTCTTTATCTTAAGACCTTCAGTTGATTAGATGAGGCCCACACATATTAAGAAGAATAATTTGCTTTACTCAGTCTACTGATTTAAATGTTTGTCTCATCTTACAAATACCTTTGCAGCAACATCCAGGCTTGTTTGGTCAAATAGCTGAGTGTCGTGACCTAGCTAAGTAGACACAACAAATTAACCACCCCAAGGAATAAATTTGGTGAGATCTGTAAGAAGCTGAGTTCAGTGCCTGATACCTAGTACATCCTAAAAGTTTATTAAGTGAGCAAAGGTTTCCCCATTCTGTGAAAGTGTTTCTCAAACCATAACATCTAAACCACTTTCCCAAATTCCTCTTAGCTCAGATTTCTTGAAGGATTTTTATGTGCTGTTTCCATTTCTTGACCCACTGCAGTCCTGCAGTCCACATCCACTCTCCCAAAACCACAGTTACTAAGTTCAGCAGCTGCTGCATGTTCATAGAATCAAGCGACCCCCTCATCCTCTTGGACGTCTCTCCAGCGTGAGATGGTTTCCACTCTTTCGAAATGAAGACCCTCTTCCCTTGGCTCGGTGACTCAGTGTCCCCTGGGTCCTCCTCTCCTGCAGTACCCTGGGCTCTGCTCTAAGCCCAGATCCTCACTTACTTTAAATGCAGTCGCTGGGGCACCTCCTGGCTTCCCACATCTCCATAGCTACCTGTGCCCCCAAATCTGATCTCTGTGTTTCTGTCTATTAGACATCTGTCCCCGCATATCCTGTGGGAAACTCAGGTTCACATGCCTGAAACAGACCTGTTGACTCCCCTTATTTCAGCCCCTGTACCTGTTCATCTCCATGTTTCCTCTCTTGGCTAAGGATATCAGACCATCGAAGCAGAAACCCAAGAGTTATCCCCCGTTTATTCTTCTGCTTCTCCTTCCTGCCCCACCCACCGCCACGTCTGGTCCCTTGCAAGGTCCTGTGGATGTCAAGTCAGTATTTCTCCAGCCTCTCCTCTCCTCTCCTCCTCTGTGTCACCTCTGTCTGTCTCTTCCCTCTTTTCTGGCCAGTTCCAGCAGTGTCTGACTATCTTCTACCTCGCCTTCCCTCCACCAGGTCTTCTGTGCTGCTCCTTGGGTTGTCTTTCAAAACCACAGACCCTTTTCCCACAGAGAACATCTCAGAACCTCTCATTGTCCATACTCATTCACATGGCACACAGATCTCTTCAGAGCCATCCCTTACCCGGCTCTCCGGCTCACTTCCAACCATTGTCTCCTGCACAGCTTCCATCGCTCCCACACCAAGCCATTTGCCCTTCCCTGGAGGAGCCTAGGTCTCTCTCATAGCTTGTCACACTTGTGAGTAGGAGCTCTCCTTTGAAATCCCTTTCTCTATGCCCTGAACAGTAATTTGGCCGCTCCTAAGCTCATTGTACATTTAGCGGTGGTACTAGACATATGTGAGGACACAGCCTGGCAGCTTCTTAGTTATTATCTGTGTCCTCCCCAAGTCTTCCTTATTTTTGAATCCTCATGATCAAGGACAGTTCCTGGCACGTGCTAGATTCCCAACTAAAATTTTTGCTGGATGATTGGATCAGATGAGAAGCATTTAGATGTTTTAAGGTTCAGGGCAGTTTAAGATATTACAGTGTAACATTTGCACTTAAGATTACTCTATACCTAGAACTTACCTTTACATGTCTATATACTTATAGTAAAC